TGAAATTAAACAGTTAAACATTAATATAAAATATTTAATAAAAGAAAAAAAGTTCATATATGTTTAATATATTTTTTCCACTTTGGTTTTTTATATTTTCATACATTAAAAGTAGGATAACTGTTCTCTCCTAAAATCCCCTCTTCTATTCCAGACTTTGTGATTGAATCATCAATTATATGTACTTACGTTGTTTGAAGGAGTGTTTGTCAGTGAGATGTCATTATGCTTACGTTTTGAGTGGTTATGTTTATGTGAATTATTTTCTTATGTTTATGATTATACGTAAAAATATTGTATGTTAAAGTGTACTATAAAGGAATGGTTAGTCTGCAATATCGTGTGAATTATATTTTTTAAAACTGTTTATTACTTGATGAATCAACTTTTACACGTGGATAATGCAGGTTAGAATTTAGCAATGAATAAAAATTAATTTAAACTTAAAATAATCCTTTTTTTATCTAATAGTACACATCCTAACAAAATATTTTATTTTTTGTACCTGTTATACATTGATATTCATAGGTTCATAGTAAGTATTTTAGAAGCAAATATGATTTGATTATTTAAAGGAAAATTTTGTTTATAGTTTTAATATAAAAATTTGAAGGTGACTTTGCCACTGAAATTGTTTTTAATACTATTTTTAAAAATAATGAACATCTTAGGAATTCATTTATCACAAGTATGTATACTTCCTTTCAATTGCATTTTCATTGTGGTTTTATAATTTTAAATGATATTACAATATTTTTTCAAAAATGTTTGTATTTTATGTACAAAACTGAATGTATTAAATATTTCTTAACATTTACTATTAACCAAATACTTAGAATTCTATAGTAAATATTATGTTATGAGAAAAGTGATATGAATAATCTAATAATAAACTTTTTATATAAAATACAAATAGACATTTCTGGTAATTCACAATTGTTTCTTTAATATTGAGACATAATAAGCTTTTTCATACATATGCAGTAGCTTTATTAGAAATATTGCATTTATACATTAGAATAACATTACATAAGTATTTGGAATTGGAATTATATCATGAATATTCTATAGAAATAATAGTTTGTTTACAAAATGTGCTTTCTCGTAAGAATGAAAAGTATTATGTTTTGTAATTTGACTCTGTAATTCAATTTTGGCAGTTCACTATTCAAAAGTTCTCTGAAAAGTGTTGTAAAGGAATAGTAGCATTGGAAATGGCTAAAACGAGATAATTAAGTATTGTATACTTAATATACATGGTGTTTTTTGATAGATTAAAAGAACATTTTACATCAATTTACTCATAGCTCAACAGTTAAGATATTGTTTACAAAAATTCTTTTCTAATTTTCATATATCATGGCCATGGAAATAAATTCTTTCCTATGGAATTATTAATCGTACAGACACAATCCTTTTCTTTATTTTACTCAGGGAAATTTAGGCTTCTTAAATGACACTTTGCTGGCACAAAAAGCTGTTGTTTTTAATACATATATCTGTATGTATACAAAGCTTGAAGTCACTAATATTAATTGTAGGGTATGTTTTTAAATATTGCTTTTTGAAAGTAATTTTTAATTATTAGAAGAGAACAAACATATGAAGACATACATACATACATACATTTGTAGTTAATATGTAATTGAAACAGATACATTACTGAATTATTATCAGATTAGATTTCTTTCTCTTGACTTGATAGCACATGATTTCTTTTTATGTTAAATAGTTTGGCCGAAGTTTATGTTCAGTTTCGGACCTCTTACCGTTCATCTTGGCGATGGTATCGTAAACGTTTGTGTGTAAACCGCGCTTCACGTGCGGTTAAATCCTTTCATTGGTGAGCACGTGGAGGGGGCAAGAGGGTGGGTAGAACATTTAATTCGAGCTTACGAGGGAAGTCGTTGATTGAAGACGAGGTACGCCAGTTGTGCTTCGACGTTGTTTCGAGTTGGACTGTATTATACTTTGGTATTTTCTGAAAAATGTGTCGCTAATTTTCAAAAAGCGCCTCTATTTCTATAAAATGAATTATTTGTTATCGGATATTTGTAAGAATTAACGAATCAATGCTTAAACGCTCAATTTCTTTGTTTGTTTTTTTTTTAATGAATGCGTGTTATTACATGTAGCTTTTGGTAATTCAGAATTTACATTATATAATCGATGATTTTTCAATAAAAATTAAAAAGTGCCTCTGAGGATCATTATTCGAGCTTAGTTTCTTTTTTGAAATTGAACGATGCCGAGTCGGTCTCGTCTCTTCCATCTTTCTCGACTCATGAGGTCAGACTTTTATTCCGTAATTTATGAAGCGGTAATTTAAATATAATGTGTCGCGTCTTCAAAGGTGCTTAGTGCTTTTAACATTTAATGTGAACCTTAATTGGCGCGGAATATTACCGCTTATTATCATACCCCGAAACCAGTCTCAAACATTTTCTTCTTGTAAGTTCAAAATACATTTTTTCAATTGTCATTTGCCCGAAATATTTAATGTATGTTTTATTCGTACGTCGTCTGTTTTGTTCTTTGTTTATTTACCGTTGTGAAATCGATTGTAACAGGTGGTATAATTTAAAAAGAAGTTATTTCAAAAAACTAAATGAAAAGGTGTGTTGAATTTTAAGTTTCAGGTAACAGGAAGTCTCTGTTTTATCCAGTTTGGTGTGTTTATTCGTGAAGCATTCGTCATTTATTTGTTTGTTGCAAAGAATATGCACATACTTTGATAACGTCATTGATAAAACCATTTTATCGTGATGTTTATCTTAACTTTCTTCGATTGATAGATTTTTTACTAAATACTTAGTTCACATTCAGGTATTTCCTATATGTACTATCCTGTCCTGAAAATAAAAGTTTATATATTACAATTTGTAACATGTTCACCAACTGACAAAATTCTAAATAAAATGTCTAATTTTATCGATACAACATTCACTCTCCTCTTTTTCTAAAATGTCACGAACGAAAATGTAAAAGGTAACAGATAAACAGTTCACATATATATATAACACGTTTTATTGAAATTGTTTCTCGAAGGCTAGTTTAAGGTTCGATGAAGTTAATTCGAAAATTTGGAGCAATGTATTGTAAACCAGTACCTTGACACGTTCAAGCCTTCGCTTTTCCCCCTAATTAATTTCATACTAGTAGTCCAGTTAAAAAATGCTTATCTTCCCCCCTGAAAATGCGGATGTTCTATCACGTTTTTCAATCAAGTGTCATTAATCGAGGTTTTTGAAGCCTCGTCCCAATTAATAATGGTATTGTTTATTGTCGCATGGCTGTATTTCTATCTGATGTTTTTTTTTTTTTTTTTACGAAACATGATTCAGTCAAATGATTTTTCAATTAAGAAATTTCTATTAACCCGTTTAACGAAAGAAATAATGCGTTTCTCAAAGATCAAACGTTAATTATCTATATCAACACTGTTTTGACATTTCTTATAAATTATCCACATCTCGTGTCATTAATAAATCGGTGTATTTTTAATAACACAGTGGCCGTTTTGTGTGTACGTCCACTGGCAGTCAGTGTAGTTTACGTTTAAATTATTATTTGGAAATGTTTCGTCGATTGCTCTGCTATTATTAAACATATCTATGTAAATTAGTTACTTAAGTCAAATGATAAATTAATTGTATGCGATCGGATTGAAATTAATTTAAATACAGTAGCTATCTTCCGTTGCGTACAGATGTTGCTGAAAATGAATTTGAAAGGGCTGCATGTTAAATTGTCGCGGACAATAAAATGGAAAAGCAAGCTCGAGTTTCCCAGTATCCAGACTAATATTTTTCTTTCACGAAAGAAGTATATTATTTAAGCGTTTAAATTATGATTTATTTAGCTTGAAAATGATTAAACTTTTACATTGCGACTTTTTATTATAAGAATGTCGTTAAGGTTATTTTTTAACACATCTGTATATATAATCGTATAGAATTGATGAACAGGTAATCATACGGAGAATATGAGGTTTTTATATATTTAAACATAAAATATGTCTTTCTAGAGTTCAACGGAACAACTGACCCACTGCAGTAAGGGAACGTTGGAAGAAATCCTAGATAATACGAACGGAATAACAACAAGAACCGTCTCTGAAAAGATCATGAGTATCTGTAAAAATACAATACGTTGGGTGCTCCTTTTGGATGTATTACTCGCCTTATCAGGTTTGTATACTCGTATTCCTTGCTTTCTGTTTATAATTCATGCCTTACTTTTCCCTTATACTCGATCTTAGTTTCTTAAAACTGATTAATTTGTGATAAGAAATGGTTATTTTTACATTAATTGTTATAAAGTACAAAACGAGGTTAGTAACGGTTCTCTCATTTATTCGGTGGAAGTATTCAGTTTAAATATCATGGACCATTTAATATAAAAGAAAAACAAATTTGCCATTATGTGTAACAGTTGAAATTCAATATTACACTAATTCATAGAATTTTGAAAAAGAATTCGGCGAACTAATCGATGAAATAAATTATTTGTAATTTATATGTTTAATATTCTCATCTGAATAAGCATAGGTTAGAAACGAAACTGTGCACGCAATGAGAGTTGACTGGAAAACCACGAACCGTGTAATACAATACTATATGACTCGACTGTCTGCTTAGAATTTTTCCGGGCGTGTCGGTATTAAATAACTCGGTACACACATGTGCGGGAAAACGTCAATGAACTGTGTTCTAATAAAACAAACTGTATTATTCTATAAATGAACACGGAACAGAGAAACCCCCAGCTGTTAAAAAGGACACGTGTCAAATATTTTTCAATACTATACCCATATGCCAAGTTTTATAAAAATCAGGAATTGTCACTTGAGTGATATTCCTTTTCAAACCTGCTGAAAGACCGTTGTGTGAGATACGCATAGCATGAACGGTTAAAGTATTCAAATTTGTTAATATACGTAACATTGTAATTCACGTTAATGTTCCAAGTTTCTGTTACATTCGATTACAAAGGCAGTCACAATTTTCACCAATATCAGTTTTTCGAATAAGAGAAAATCTCTTGCACTTATCTAATTCACTACGATTTAACGAAGATCTTATGTTAACAGAAGAAAGTGCTTATTCATTATGAAAATTTGCGTTATTGGGCAAGCCGTATAGCCGTGTACGGTGTACACGCATGCGTCCAAGTTGCGAAATACTTAACTATGTATTGCCTCGTCTACGAGAGTGCAGTTCCGTCTCTGACTTCAACTTGGTATCTAAACCACGAGTACTCTCCCCCCTCCTTCGTCTCTCTTTCTCTCTTCCTGTCCCTAAGTCCCGCTATCATTCTTATTCTTACTCTATTGCTCGTTTTAACGCTCGTTTGTGCGTGAACACGTGTCAAATTTGCATAACATGGGCAAGTGCAAAAGCAATGAAAAAGTAGCGCCACAAAGGAGAAGTTTCAAAGTGATAACTCAACGCAACGTATACAGTATGTGTAAGTACGCAGGAGAAGCAAAACAAAGCGTGGCGCGCGAACACGTGCGCATTTTTTCCAAGTAGGCATGCAGAGAACCGTTTCTGTGAGAAATTAATATTTGACGTGTCTCTGCGTGATTCACAATGATTCAACATTCCCATATATCGGTAAGAATCCGTGAAAATGAATGATACTCTCATGTAAACGGCTTTAATTGATACGATAACGAGTAAGTTTTCAGTACAAAGAGACAAGCGAAACTCTTTGAATTGCAAGTTAATTTAGAAATTTGTACGCTATCTGTTTTAAGTAAAAGAAAAACGAACAAGTATTCAACCACTAAATATAAAATTATATATGCCAAAATTCCTACAAGTAGATTTATTACTTTCAATAATAAATTTTAGTATCAGTGGCGCAACGTTTTTTTTTATCTTACGTATCTGTTTATCTCACGTATCTTTGTCTGATATTTCTATATGCAGATAGCGGTTAAAAATGAGACTTTATTACCAACAGTTTTTTTCATTGAAATTGAAATAAAACTCACCAAGTAATTTTATGACAAAATGTATCATGTACAAGAACATTCATAACCTCTTTTATTTCGCGATATATTTAATTATTCTAGTGGACTTCGAATACGAGATATTGTAAATTTTTTGCTAGTATTTAAACACTATTAATGTTCTGTTAATGTTTCCCGCGAAATGTCGTTGGCATGTGGAGGGGAGATAAATCGCGTGAGAGGCTCCACCTATGGATGAGTTTAAACATACAAAAAACATGTTTTTACATTTAACTGTCTTCTCTTGTAGAAACATTCGAAATATTGTTACAATCCATTATTAAACATTGTTCTGTCTTACCAATTGAATTTTCCTACTTTTTAAATATTTCTTTATGACCGTATATTGTAATGTTCAACTATTGTTGCGTGTTTCAGTTATCGTGCTTCTAACAATATTGGAGTTTGGGACAGTTCCGCAACAGCGTATTGGCTTTTACTGCAATGATCCAAAAATATCTTTTAAATTCATGGGAGATACAATTTCTATTACGTTACTGATCGTCGGTAGTCTTGTAGCGCCACTCATAGTGGTACGTGAAAATAAAATCATTTTTAAAAACGTTGAATTGAAATGCATACCCGAATATTTTATCGAATTTAGATTTTTCTGCTTCAAAATTATATTAACTATTCAAGTTTTATTTTTAACATAATACTTGCAATACTGATAAAAAAGCTTGACAGTTGGAAATGTTTATATACTAAATCGCATATAGTGTCAATACTTTTGCTAACCACTATAATTAGTTATTGATCTAACTTTTAACAAAAAATTTTAAATATTTTATTTTAGATGTGGATAGCTGAATATACTTACTATCCTGCAAGTAGCTATGATACAGCATTTGGGTGTGCTGGTTCGAGAGCGAAACAAGTATGGCAGTGGTATGGTTACTATTCAATCGGAATAATTGCTCTGACGTTTATATGTGATGTGATGAAAACTCTGATTGGGGAACCACGACCCCATTTTTTGGACACATGTAAACCACGTGAAGCTATGAACTGTACCGACGGGTAAGTTATTTTATTTCATTATTTCTTATATTTAAGGGTGTATGGTTTTTGTATTATAACATATGGCAATCCTTACGTTCCAAAGATAAGATAATACCGTAATATTGAGAATGCACAACAACTGTATGCGCATTAATAAACATTGTAAAACTGCATTTGTAATGTTGAACTGCGAGATAAGTACAGAGTGTTATGAATTTAGCAAGAGAACAAATTTTTTAATCGAACGTATTTTAAAATCGTAATATGAAATATAGGGAGCCCTGTTATTTACAGATCTCCTTAAAAGAGGTGATTAAGAAGGTAAAATAAAGGAAAAGAATTCCTATAAACATTATGACGAAAACAGATCACATAATAAGATATATGTTTTCAAAGATTAGCACTGTTTAAGTTGTAAAGCAGGAATAAGTGTTCAAAATAATTATTACGTTTTTTGCATATAAGGATTAATTTACTAATCAATTTAGAACATGGTCCTTCGTGATTTTCTAATTATTGCACCCGAAGAATAGAAGTCTAGTGTTGACATATCTGGCGATCTAAGAGGCTACAGTTGACTAAGCAAACTTGAAGGTTGTAACGCGCATACCTGTGCAAATAAGCAGAAAGCAGGTGGGCACGTCATCCCTACTATTCTACGGTCATAGACTGTCTCCGTTTGAGGGGCAGTTTTTGTGTAGATAGATAAATGGTTTTCAACCAGCCGTCGGTAAAGTTGCGCGCTGATAAAAAAATAGGAAAGTGAAAAGATTATCCGCCCACCTTGTCTTCTTATCTGATTATGAATCGGCGTACAATACAGATATTTAATAACATTTAGGACATTAATTTCGAAAAGACTTAAATGCAGTAAATTGTTATTGTAAAGGAAACCTCAGAAAATTTATTAATATTTTGTAAGATTTAGAAAAGTAATCTGTTACCGACTACTTACGCGAGGCTCGATCATCGTCTATCTTTGTTCATAGAAGATGTAACAAGTTCTTCTCCATCTACTACTTCCTGCCCCCAACATCTCCTTGAACCTTTAGGTTTGCTTAATCGACCTGTACATATATTTACTACGCAAAATAGTATACAAATTTCAACTGTATCCCTTTTTTAAACAAATTTCTGACATTCTTTTACATATTATTTTTTAGATACGTGGAAACCTATACGTGTACAAATACAGTAGATTCGGATTGGTTTGTCTCAGACTCCAGTAAATCATTTCCATCCGGTCACTCTGCTCTTTCCACGTTTACAACTATTTTTATCGTGGTAAGTAAACGTATGTGTGCTTGTGTATTTAAAAATATCTATGATAAGCTCTATTTTCTATAAAATGCTAACTTGAATAAAGAGTTCATTCGGATCGTTTAATACAATGTTTTTTCGTTCAATTGTTTTTTTATTTCTACGAACAGAAATGTGTATACGTTTTGATATTAAGTAGTAGAAGTAGTACTAGAAGTAGTAGTAGTAATAAATTTATAATACAAAGCACAATCTACTATAGTCGGGGCCAAATGTATTGGCCTGTCACAAGGATTTCTCCTCTTTGCCTTTGTAATACAGAGTATTCCATTATTCACTGGTTTCTTTAAAGAAGGTGATTGGGAAAAGTAAAATGAAAGCAGAGTCCTAAAAAGTCAAAAACCTCCAAGTATTCAAAATGATCACCACTTTCTCGTATGCAAAGATTAATTCGGTGTAACGATGACAGTCGAATTCGTTGGAACGTTAACAACCAATATAACATTCCACTGTTTTTCGCAAATTTCAAATTTATGAGCATAAATTTTTTACACTTTATTGTACTGAAGATGTAACAAAACCTGCATATGTATATTGCAGGTCATTTTACTCGCATTCGGTAGCCGCGTCACTACTGGAGCATCCGAAGCCCGAGGGTTAAGTATTCGATAAGACTCTTTTTCTTTTTATTTAAATCCTTAATCATCTTCTTTAAGAAGACCAGTGAATAACTGAACACTTAGTACATATTCCTGCATGCTTATTTACATATTAACACGTATTATTAATTCTCAGTTGGTACGGTAATATGTCGGCCACATGGTTATAGTCGAAGCCAAATATATTAGCCGGTCATGTGGTTTTCTTGCAAAGATCGAATAAAAATTATAAAAAATTTAAACCTTTGACACCGTACTGTTGTCGTCAATAGACGAAAAAAGTGCTTTAAATTATTCATGAGCATTAATATAGGAATTATTGTCCCCCTTCCCGTCTTTCTGGCATAGTTCAATACATAAGTTTCTCTTTTTTTTGTTCTAGTGGTACTTACACAGTCGTTTACCAAATCGGACGTTTTTCCTAAAACCGTGGTTACAGTGTATGATGTGCTTGTGGGCTGTGATATGTTCGTTAACCAGAATCGGTGATCGTAGACATCATTGGTGGGACGTACTCGCGGGAGGCACTTTGGGCTTTGCCTTTAGCGTGCTAACTGTTTCAGTGCAATGTCGTAAATTTCGCGTGGAAAACGTCTCGCAGGTGTATAACGTCTCACAGGTGTACAACGAGCCCATAGAAAATAGGCAGATCAGTTTCAACGACAAGAAACAGCAGAGTGTGAAGAAACTGTTGCACGAAACAATTGTCGATCTTCCGGAAGGTCGTGAATTGAAGAACGTTAAGTCGACTACCTGGAAAGAATGAATAATTAACACCAGAAAAAAAAATCTTCAAGAGACGTTAGAAACGTTAGTTTGTATAAATTCATGGAACTTCAAGCGTTATACAAAGGATCAGAGGTTGTATTTCTATTGTACCCGAGCAGCTTATTTATTTATTTCTTGAGCTAATACAAGTATATATCGAAAGTCCATTATTATGAGTATTTTACGGGTGCAGTTGTTGCATTAAGCAAACAGTGATATCCTCTAAATATATTTTTTTTCAAATGCACACAGTTTTCCATATCATAGTCGCTGCATTTGTAATATAGGAAAGTTTTTACCCTTTTAAGAACGTAGAATATTTCGTCCGAATTTAGGAAACATTTTTTTAGTGTAAAATAATAATAGTAAGCGTTCCCATGGTGGTTGGACACAGTGGAAGGTATTGGGCACAAATGAGATATCTTTTACTATCTTTTTTTAAAGAATAAGGAATATGTTATTGTTTGAATGTTAATTTAGAGTAAGAGAAAAAAACAACTCATTCCATATCGCAGCTTAAATATAATTAAATATGATCTATAATTCATATGTAAAGCGTATACATTATCAAGTAAAATTAGATACATAATACGCCTCGGTTGGAAAACGCTTCACTATTGTTTTACGCACACAAGTATATTTTCGTATACTTCTCGAAGAAACGTAATGATCATACTTATACTTTAGCAGCGTTTACGGATGACTGAGGTAATTAAAACAATAATGAGTTTTTGTCAACCAGGGAAGTATTAACATGTTTTACCCGAGTGTAAATTCAAAAATTAAGCATACATCTATGGTTTGTATTAATTTAGAACAAATATTTTGTGAAGTGGATTGTAGTGAAAAGTATTATAACATTTTTTATCTTTAAAGATAAAAATTATTAAAGTTTTTAAATAGCTAATATAGAGTGTATTCATGGACATTATTATATTTCTAATTCGATGAATTATTATATAAGCAATGCTCATTAACGTAGAAGTATTATTTACGGTTGGTATCATCTTTTTCACGAATTCATTCTGAATAACTGTAATTTGATTAAAGCCTTACTATGATATTTTAACTTGGATGTATATTTATTAAGCAGAAAATGTTTCATCCTTTACCAAATGTTTTATATTTCTATTTTTCTTTTTTTTTATTCGGTCGCACGGTTTTATCGTTAGCTTAAAACTTTCCCTTTCGTCAATTGTTCTTTTTGTTCGCGTACAAGCGAACGGATGCGTCGAAAACGAGCGATTTAATTTAGTGGCCGGCCCAGTCGTATAACAACACTATAGTTGAAGCATTTTTTCGTCAAAGGTCCGCGTTTTGCCTCTCCTCTTTTTTCCTCGACGAAACAATTGGTCGCGGGGATGAATGCGCCAGAAGCTTACGTGTGCGGGAGAGAGTAAGAGCAGAATTGTGTGAGAATGACGGAAGCTGGAAATGGACTGGTGGGAGTACAAGTGGGGGAAGATTGGCGTGCGCCGCGTGGTACAGCGGCACGAGATTGAATGAAAGAGATGAAGTGGTAGATTAACGTCAACCGACGTAGTCCATTCATAACTGGCCTCCCTCCTGACCATGTGTGGCCCGCA